TGCGGGCATTCCGGGCAGCCTGCAGCCTGTCGACGGCCGATTCGCCGTGGAGTCGGCCAAGAAGAAGAGGGGCGGGGGGAGGCCAGCTCGGCCCCTGGTGCTGAGGCGCAAGATCGGGGCCGCTGGCAAAAAAAAACTCGGAGGTCACTGAAAAGGGACGCACGCCTGAGAGACAAGGGTAGAGGTCAGACAGAAAGAGAGAGGGACAAACAAAAAACTGCCAGTCATTCAGCGCATCGGAACGCCACAACTCCTCCCCATCATGTCTTCCCCCCCACTCTAGCCTGCGGCGGCTGCCTGGAACCACCTGCGAAGGTCGGCCCGCGCCAACCGCCGCTCATGCTCGGGAGGGAAGGGGGGGGGGGGGGAGGGAGGGGGGGGGGGGGGGCAGATTGGCAGAACACGCAGAAGGCACGCAGCGGAAGGCGCCTGGCCCTGGCCCCCTTCGCCGCCTCCGCCGTTCGCCTCCGCCCGCCGAGCAGTTCGGCACGATTGGCCGCGACGCGCGCGAGGGCCGCTGCAGACAGCGGGGGGGGACGGCGGCGGCGGCGGCTCTGAGAGCTGAAAGGTGGCCCCTCACAACTGTAGAAGGGACCTCAACAGCGACTGAGCGAGCGTCGCGGAGCTCATGCCCCTCACTAGGATGCAAAGAGGCCTGAGTCCCAAGAAGAGGAGGCGGCGGATACGCCAGACGCCAAACCCTCGGTGGGCTTCGCCTTACACGGCAATGTCGGGGCCGCATTCGGGGGCCTTTTCCGGGCGCGGAACTGCCAGAAATCCGAGAGCTGAGGGCCCCGAAAATCATCGCGAGGGTCTAAAAAGCAGCTTCTCTGATACGATCGAGCACTGTCAACGCTGTCTGCCTGCTTCTGCTTGCACAAGGCCCGCGGATTGATCTTTTTTCCGCGCCGCGCGCCACCTGCGCGCGCCTGAGCCCTGCCCAACCATAGCTCGGCGAAAGCTTTTGGGGAGCGCGCGAGCACTTGGCGAAGTGCCAGGAGGACATTGCTCTCCCCCCCCCCAACGAGCGGAGGCCGGATGCCCCATCCACCCTCCAGCGCCACACAGAAGCAACGACAAGCAAACCAACCATAGCCTGCCACAACTGACAGGACAATTGCACCTGCAGGGCGGGCCACGGAGCGAGCGGGACAGCGCCCCACGGCGAAAGCCATGGACGCAGCGGAGGGGGGCCTCTCTCCGACGCGCCGCCGAGACGGTCTCGCAGGGACGGGGCCCTTCAACAACGCGCACCCCGCCGGCCTTGATGCGCGGAGCCCACAAGTCGAGACTTGCAGGGCGAGTCAAATCACATCGGACGGGGTACACAAGGAAGTCGATGGAAAGCGCGCGACTTCAAGCATCGATAATATTGACCTCTAAGGCAAGCTCAGCCTGGCCCTCGATATACCCCTGCCTCCGCAAGCCACGAAACATGTTCAACAAAAAAATGCCCGCGCGCGATCCCCCGGGGGGGGGGCCGGGGCCGGAACGCCCGGGAACGCCTCAGGAAGGCAAAGCCGTTCAATATGCGAGGGGGGGGTCTCCAAAAGACGGGGGGGGCGCCCGCGCGCAAGAGGTCAGGAGTTGCTTCGACCGACCCGCGAGCTTCATCATATACTCTCGGGCGACAACCCTCGCCCGCGCGGGGCCCGCGCATGTGAAGATCTCATGCGCTTCTTTGTTCAGAGGGCCAGCGCCGCGATGCGAAGGGGGCGCCGAGCGCGATGGTGTCAGCCCACGCCCGCGGGCCCATCTGCTTCGCAGGGTCTCGAAGTTGCCCAACACTTCTTGTTCGTCGGACTGCATGGGAGAAACGCGCCGAAGGCAATGGGCCAAGCACCTCGGGCCCCGAGAGGAAACGCGGCGGTCCAGGGGATGCCGGGAAGAGAACACCTCGAGGCAGCCAGCACACCAATCCGCTGCTCAGAAACGCCGCGCAAGACCTGCGCGAGCACGACGCGCGGCCCCGACGCGCCACTCGAGCGCGCTCGAAGAAGGAAGCTGGAACCTGGCAGAGAGGGCACAAACAGGGAGAAAGAAGGAGGATGAGACTACCCCGAGGGGGAGGAAGACAATAATGGGATCACACATCGAATGGCCTGACTTCCTGATACCCCCAGAAGCACCCCTTTGAATCTTCGCAACGACTGCCTGACGATCCCACTGATCGGAGCCTTCCGATGAGGAGACCTGGTAGATACGTCGAAGCCTTGGGTCAGGATCGGCTGAGGATAGAGGAAGCTGCGCAAAACGCCATGAGTAACGCGCGACCACCCAAGATCGCCCAAACCGCGATGCAACCAGGAGTCGATAGCTTCGGACTGTCCAGCGGCCACGCATTCTGCACCAAGCAGGCGGAGCGACGAAGCAGGTGCAGCTCGTAGCACACGCGAAAACAGACGGAGTCTGGACGCGGAGAGTAGCGCCTCAAAGCTGGCCACACACACACAAACACACACGCGCGCGCGCGCGCGCCAGCAACTGGAGATCGGCAGGGCCTCCAGCTTCAAAGCGAACAGACTTCAGACTCCTTCGGCATGTCTCAACGCGCTGGGAGCGCAGACGCACGGCGCCCTGGGAGCGCAGCCTACACCGCGCACCTGGCGAGAACAGAAACGAGCGGAAAATCAGCGAGATCACTTTGCGGGGCCTCTCGGAGAGCCCTCGCGAGTTCCTGAAACGCGGTGGCGGGGGCCTGCCCCCTATTAGCCAGCTTGGGGCCAGGAGAAAAGAAAAAAAAAGAACAAAACAAAGGAGAGGAGGAAGAAGAAGAAGAAACAGATATTTCACAAAAAAAAAAAAAAAAAAAAAAAAAAAAAAAAAAAAAAATCCAACTATGTCCCAAGGTAGACTGATCGTCGGACAACATGCCCAAACAAGTCTTGCCTCATCGGAGACCACGCCAAAGACTTTGCCTGCGAGGTAAGAGAATTCCAATGACGAAACTGGGCAGGACAAGGCCCGCGAGCGGATACCACAATCACCGACTACCAAGCTCCACGTGCAGGAGGAGCCCCACAGCGAGAAAGGAACTGGTGCAAAAGCGGCAGAAGTGCTGCAGCATCTCCTCTACACGGCCCCCCAGCGAAAACAAGAACGGGCAGTGCCTCTTGCGCCGAAGTGCCACCCACGGGGCTGACAAGGTCATGAGCTGGCGCGTTGAAGCAGAGCTGCAGTCACACTCCTCGGGCCCCTTCGCGATCTCATTGGCGGCCTCAGCTATGATGGCATTGAAAACTGCGTCACCTGAGGGGGTTCCAGGTCTAATACCTGGACGTTCGATAGCTATCTTCTCGGCCCCAGGGACTTAGAACCGACCGAAGCGATGCGCCCCCTGGACAATGCATCTGATGAGATCAATCACACCGTGCTTCCAAAAACTTGTGATATCGCACGAATTTCGATCGATCACAGGAAGGGATACATACACATATGATGTTCTCCCGTATACATACATTTTACAGAAAACTGTTTATACACATATATATACCTATAAATATATATAAACTGCTGCATCATCTGGGAGTATCTGAGCATTGCCCTGGCGGCCAACGTAGACGTGGAGGCACCGCGCCCAGCCACCCCTGCAAACTGGCGATCAGCACCAGCGATCTGCACAGCTGGCAGGAGGAAATCAGAAGGGACTGAATAGCAAGTCCTGCCGATCTACG